ATACCTGTCTTTTTCACTATCACACTCACCTGCATACTTTGGGAGATGCCTTCTCGGTCAGAAAGAACCTCAGACAGGTTCTTGGTGCCCAGGACATTCCTCAAGGTGGTCTGGGCCAGTAGAGAGTGGAGTAATCTGCATTAGTCACGTTTGCCACTGAGGCAACAGGGTCATTTACACGGAAGTACACAACACCATCCACAGAAATTGTCACTGAGTCTTTGGTCAAGATCTAAATGCAAACAAAAATGAAAATGTGGCCACTTAGTAAATGCCATAAGTAAATACTAATTGCGAGTCTTAAATGGATGAATTCATGTACATTTTATATTAAACATTAGAGTATAGGCCTACAAGAGTTTACAATCTTAAGCAAAATAGCATACTATCATTCTGCTCTTACTATTTTCTCTTATATTTGTGCCACATAAATATATGAGCACTATTTAATATGTTATTCCGAATTCAGACTCAAACTTTTCATTCAACAACTTTCTCATTCAAGTAGGAAACAAGACTGTCTTTATGACCGAGTCACTGAATCATTCACGGAAAAGATTTGTTCGAAAACACTGATTGTTCAGGATCGAAACGCTAATTGCTAGAAGAGGAGCAGTTGATTCCGCTTTGACTACGCTTGCTGGAACTATTCACGCCGGCGGAGCAAAAACAGACGAAGTAATTGCCATTATTGTTTGTTAAATGTAAGTTACTCGATATTAACTTTTCGTTTATTGAGTATTTATTTTTAGTTTACCTCCTGGGGAGGGATGTCAAATGAGATGGTTCGAAGATCCACTTTGATAAAGGAGTCCGTGCAGGGGATGATGAAGAAGATTCCTAGACATAGGTAACATTTTTGAATTATATGATCTGTGTCATACATTATTGATTCGTTATTTAAACTACACTCCATGTACAGGAGTTGAGCTAGCAGGTCACATTTATTGTTTTAAGAACAAGTTATGTTAAGGTCCTCAGCTGTTAAACAGTTGGTAGCCTACCTGTGGATCAGAGGAACTTCTAAGGCAAATATTAATTTGCCTTTGACAAAAGTTGGTGTTACTTCAGTATTTGTTTAGCTTGGCCTACTGAATCGAAGATCTGAGAGACTGGCAGTCTACTCAAGTACTGAACATTCTTGTTTACCTGGTCCTTTGGCTTTTCGGGCTGTTATCCGCCCCAGTCTAAATATGACAGCACGCTCATACTCTTTCACAATCTATAAAACAGTAATCAAACATATGAAGTGGGTTATAAAACATTTGAACAACAACTGCAGGTGTAAAACATTCCTGATGTAACTTCCTGTTAAAGTGCAAGACTTAAGGGTATTTAGTAAAGTATTTAGCTATCATATTATTTTGTAAAATTAATTATTATAAATGTAGTCAAATGAATATGTGGCCATAAAATATTGATTTGTGTTTAAATTGTATTTTATTATTTGAAAAGAAAGGCAGCTGTGTTATAAGAGTCATGAAACCGATAAGAAACCAGTCGTATGTATGACAACTGTATGATAAACTTTAAAATGAAAATGAAAAATATAAAAATATAATGAATTCAAAATAGTAATAAAAATGACTAAAATTATACTAAAATAACATGGGTTCAAGAGAGCCTAGTAATAGTAATTCATATTTTTCAATATATTTATATATTTTTTTGTCCTGTTGTGGTTCATACCTTAATGCTTATGAAAATGCTGATTGGAAATATCAAGATGGAGAAAAGTGCAGAGATAATCACAAGGATCCACCCACAGCAGCCCAGACCCCCCTTATTTTCACCTTTAACCACAGAAAATGGTGTCATTCTCAAAAACAGCACATGACTAACATGAAGTTAAATAGGTCAAATTGTTCAAGAACACGGTGCTAATTACATGTTTTATTCAGTGAATACTGCATGTGATTTGATTGGTTTGGTTTGCAAAGAAACTAAAATTCTCTAACTAGCAACTTATCAGTAACACTCATCTTAACCCTTACTAACAATCAAACTGTGAAGCACATCTTATCTTTTACCCTTAACCCTGAATAGAAGCACTTTACACCAAAAATTCAATATCTGCCCCCCACTGGATCAGCAATAACCCCAGTGTGACAGATAAGGCTACGCTATTTTTTCCACACACACACTACACACCCAACAATTTCAAACCAAGGCCATATTTTATGTTCATGCCCTTTCTATCATACTCTTTTAAGAGAAAGACTAACATGTGTTTACATTTTACTTATCAAGTTATGATCTGATTTATAATCTGATGTGATTATTGAAATCAGCATGGGCTTTTGTGAATCTTTTTGTGAATCCAACATCAAGATTTTAGTACAAAATCATTAAATACATTGAAAAAAATGTGTATAGTGTTCTGTGGCTGTCACCATTTCCTTTTCACCATTTTAGCTTTTTTGAGGTTCCTTTAAATAGTCCTGCAGTTACTATACTGTTAGATATTGTGACATACCAAATGCATGGAACAACATTAACTTCAAGCTTAGTTAACCTTTCTTGTCTGTTCCTGGTGATTAGTTTCTGACTAGGAATACTAAAAATAACACAAACAGCTATTTGACTTCATATATGTACTGCATATTTCTTTCTTCCTCTTTCCCCATGCAAGTACAATTGTGTATTGGTGTGGAAAATTGACTGCTTTGCAAACCAAACACTAATGCAAATGACAAATCTAACTGATGATAGTTAAAGAATACAACCTCAATCGACACCTCAATCAACATCAACACTCAAGTCCAGTAGTAGTTTTAGTTAAGACAATTACTATATTATATTCTCAGTGCATTACTTGTTAAAGTACAATGTTCATAGACAAAAGGGACAGAGGGAAAAATAAGGTGAGATCATCTTACTGATTAGATTCTGCTTGCTCTGGGCTCCTCGCTCCATTTCCATGTGGGTTTGTTGCTACACGAGATGTGTAGAAGACGGCACTGGCTTTGTGGGTGACTGAGGGATATATTTGCACTGCAAAATCACTTCCTATGAAGGCCTTGTCTACAATGCAATTAGAAGATCATTTACAGACCCTAATGGTCTTATGACACCATCCACTGTGCAATATGAGGCTGATGTTTGTTAATGAAGCAGTTATGATGATTATGATTGCTCTGAAACATCCGCTATGTCTGGTTTTGGCCTAGATGCTTTATTCTTCAGCTATCAAGCAAGTATGCTTTTCCCTATAAAGATTTTGCCTTTTCCAACTGGTTTTTAAAACATTTTCTTGTTTTACTCTTAGTAAAACTAATAAACCGTTTCAGTGATTTATGAAACCGTCTGGTAGGTAGATCAGTATAACAATTTTTAGTTATTTCAACTTTGCATATCAGTAAAGCATGATTATCAAAAGAAATCAAATGTTGCTGCTAAAGTATGGGATTTTTTGAGGCTAAATTGTATTTTAATAGAATTTTGATGGATTACTATTTCTAACCCTTTTATAACTATATTTACTATATAAATATTTTGTATTATCTATATCTAGTGAGGAATTTCATCCATTACTTACATGCAGGAACTCGTAGGTAGTATTGCGTAACACCAGGTAAGTGATCGAAGGGTCAAGTGGAAACTAGTAATGGCAGGAGTCTCATGATGTGGAAAAGATTGAAGTAATTATTTCACTCCCGCTATGTGACCAAAAGTATAAGCAGGGTAAATCAATGTCAAAAAGAATCTATTTTATAGCGGTTCTCTGAAAAAGTTCACCAGCAAAGACCTCAATAGTTACTTCGCCAGGTTTTCTCTAACAATCAAAAAGGGGAAATCAGTAAATACAATACAAACTTCCTTCCAACACATTATCTACGGTAAATTAACATCACTTTTCTATAAACAAATACATAAACAGCAATAGCAGCCATCTAAAAACCAATTGCAATTCACTAATATCAATAATCTTTTACAATTAATCTGGTATTATTGGAATTCCGGCAGCAAATCATTTTGAATTTGTTTTTGTTTGTCTGTAGTGACTGCTTACATTGCATCTCAATTTAGAAAGTTGCTGTGGGTTTTGTGGTCATTCTGGAAAGTCCTGAACAGGTGAAGGGTAAAGTGACATATCTTCTGCTAACCAGAAAAATTCAGAATAAAGACAAACAAAGAAAATCTAAGAAAAGAACTTTTATTTCATGATGCTGTTAGAACATACTAGACTAAACCTACCATATTCTTTATTATATTTTAAAATATATAATGAAAACAAACGTGAGTACTGTAGACTCTGAGATCTACATTGTATACATGTAAAATTCATGGTTCTGACCTTAATATCAGCAAATTGCACAAGAGTGAAAAATGTAACACTAAAGTCACTTAGGAGTTGCAAAGCAACTCAACTTCTTTAGAGGAGATTGCAAGGTAACTTAGAAAAAAAAAAAAGAACAGCTACAGTACAAAGATCAAAAACCTAATTTACCCATTCTCAAATGGTATTTACATGTACAGCATTTGACAGACATTTGAAGAAAAGGTCAGTTAACTCACTACTTTCAAGATACAGGGAAAAACAGTTTAGTAAAATTTAGACACCCACACTGTTCACATTTCCTCTAATGGTGTATATTTCAAATTCATTTTAGTATTCATTTTTTTAAATTATGATGCTTAAACAGAGTTAAGCCCTAATTACTTCTACAAAAAAAAAGAAAAAATACTAAAGTATTCATTTCATTCAAATACATATAACAAACAGCCCAGCCCTCAAAAGTCAATCAAAATTATGTTCTACTAATGCAGTGCGCTAAACCACAAGCTCGTCTTGATTTGAGACTTGTGAGTATCTTCTAAAGGAAATTATTGGAGAGTAGAGCTTCCACATTAGTTTCTGAATTTTACCCATAATTGTGTTATGACACCTTTTTCCATGCAGAGCACCATAGTCCACAATGTTCGTCATTGTTTACGCACACTAGGGGTGTGCGATATATATCGTCTGCGATAATATCGTAATTGTTGTTTTACACACTTCACACAAAATGTCACATAGTTTTCGATATGCCTGCCCTCTGTAACTCACAATGAGTTACTGCCAGCCCAGTGGCGGATGCAGGCCTGGCTGCAGAGGGAAGCTCGAGCCTGCAGCTGCAGGGTAGTTAGTGAATCCATTTGGCTGGGGAGGGTAACTGTCAAGCGCTGATGCAGAGTGAGCCTGCAATCACACACACAAAACAAACATTAACATTTGCATAGAGTAAATTCTTCTAAAATTCTTGCTAGTAATCATAATAGCAGGCATAGTAATACTATCCAGTAGCCCTTTAATGATCAAATAAAGAGCCATAGCCTCCAATCAATTTATAGATACCTGCAAAAGAGCAGATTGCATGGCGGAGTTGTGAAGACCAGAAAGGGCAGCAGGAGATGCTGTCGTGGAGAAGCTGGGCATCCCTGGGGGGAAAGACAGGAACCCTGGAAAAGCTGCACCTCCAGGGGCCTGGAGACTACCAGTTAGCCTGTGTAACACATTAAGCAGCATTGCATAAGCCTATTAATAATACAATTCTAATGACTATCTTACTAACACAAATAGATTGCACTTATGTAGTTTCACAATAATCTATAAGACTAAATTCAAAGGCAACCGTGCTATCTGAAAAGCTATCACACATATGTGCTCACTACAATAATGCTTCTTGACAGCAATACTTCACATGTTCTATATGTTGCTGACAGAATTGGTATCTAAACTTCAAGTTAATCAGCCATATGACCATAAAATATTTTTGTGGCTATGGTTTACTTTTCACAGTTATGACAGTTTTACCATATCTTCGAGGAACACGTATCACTCTGATAAAATGAAGAATAGAAAATATAGACTTTGGACTTTGCAGAACATTTCAACTGGAAAGTGTTTGACATAACCAGTTCAAGAACCCAGTGACCTCCCTTGCTGACTACTGTCTACATTGGCCTTCTAAGGCAGCATCCTGAGACAGAACCTCAAAAGTTACTTTATACTCATTTAATTCCAATAGATTTTCCCATTACCATGTTGCTAAGCTTTCAGTACAATACTTAAAGGGTTAGTTCACCCAAAAATTAAAATTAGGCTGTGTTTTACTCACCCCCGAGGCATCCTAGGTGTATATGACTTTCTTCTTTCAGACGAATCCAGTTGGAGTTATATAAAAAATTGTCCTGGCTATTCCAAGCTCTATCATTGCAGTCAGCGGGTGTTACAGTGCTTCAGTCCAAAAGAAGGGAAATAAAAAGCCCGTCCATAAAAAAAAAAAAAGAAAGTCGCACACGGCTCCTGGGGGTGAACAAAGGCCTCCTGTAGCGAATCGATGCGTTTTTAATATAACTCATATACACCTAGGATGCCTCGGGGGTGAGTAAAACACAGCCTAATTTTCATTTTTGGGTGAACTAACCCTTTAAATACACATAATAACACACAAGTAGTGGATAAAACAGTCCATCTGTGATTAGACTGGACTGTATTTAGATACTTTTCAATATTGAATGAAATATATACATAATCATCTTAAAATAATCAAGCATAATTATACTTCCTACATTTTAGAGAAGCCCTTGTGTTGTGCACCTATAATGCTGGCTAAGTAGGCAGCTCACTAGGTTTTGGAACTGTTATTTACATACCATTGACAATGTAGATTATCCATATTAGTTTAGCAAAGAGGTGCTCAATCCCATTCCCAATGATCTACCTTCCAGCAAAGATCTTCAGGAGCACTTGATAATTACAGACAGATGAACTGAACTATGCAGGTAGGTAGATTTCCAGGACCAGGATTGGACACCCCTGGCTTAGCACTATCTGCTCATTTCAAATAATCCTAAATCATGGGTAGCCAACTGTGCTCCTAGAGGGCTACCATCCGGCAGGTGTGTTTTTTAAAGCTTAATACTTTATAAACTTGTGCAACAATTAAATAGAAGAAAAAAAAAATTACCCAGCCTGGCCAACAAGGGCGGGGTTGAAGTTAGAGCTGAATGCAGAGGCGAATCCAGGAAGCACAGGAGATGAGGAGGGGACTCCTGCTGCAGCAGCTGCTGCGACTGCTGCTGCCTGGAGAGGTGCAACGGTGGCTACTGAGGAAGAGGCTCCTGGAAGCCCCATTAAGGAGGACAGCACCGGACTACCTGCTGCAATGGGCCCTGAGCCTCCAAATCCTGGGAAGGCAGGATTTGGGCCGGAAGGAAGACCCGGGAACACGGAGGGAGCTGTGGTCAATCCCAGGCCAAAGGGGGAGGGCGTGGGAGCACTAGAGTGAGCCAGGCCAGAATATACAGATGAGACTGGAGGAGTAGGAGTGGATGGGGTGGAAATGGAGGACTGGGCTCCATGGAAAGGAGACATGGCTGGAAAATGTGGAGCAGGGCTGCTTCTAGCCTGAGAGCCCAGAGCAGAGGAAAGATTGTGGAGTCCAGATACACCAGCAGTGCTGGGTAAAGAAGACTGTGGCGAGGCAGCACCATGGGCCATGCCAAGGGGTCGGGCAAGAACAGCAGAGTTTGGCATTACTAGAGAGCTAAGAGAAGGAGTGCCAGACCGGGAGGGACCTTTGAAAGCAGAAGGGACAGGACTGTTGCTTCCACTACCTCCACTTTGCCGGGCCATGGAGCTAGCATGTTGGTCAATAAACAAAACTCCAGCAGGGCTACTCATGGCTGTCTGAGAGGTCAGTCCAGGAGAGGGCTTAGGACTAGAAGACGCAGGCGCCACTGGTAATCCACCAACACCTTGCATGCTGGGAGTAGAGCGTCCAGGAGTGAGGGAGGACATCCCTGAGGGTGTGTAACTACGGATAACTGAATGTGACTGGGTAGAGGAAGTGCCAGGGAGCAAAAGTGCTGACTGGGAATCTGAGGAGGGTGGGTACCCCTTCTTTGAGTGTAATCCCATAGCTCCATGAGGAGTCAAGGGATCACCAGTTGCTCTGGGAGTAGATGTGAGTCCACCAGTAGGTGTTTCTGAGTGGGGAGCACTGTGGAAGGGAGAAGAAGGGATGCTTGTACTTGGCCCGGGTGTTCCACAGGGTGTTCCAGATGGGGTATGACTTTTAATGACTGAAGGGGTGTTTCGACCAGAAGGGGGCATGCCAGGAAACGGAGAAGGAACTGGCGTGGTGTGGCCACTGGAGTTTGAGGCAACTTGGGGAGAGCCAGCTGGGACAGGAGGCCCTTTGATGACTGAGGGCGAGGGGGCAGGAGTAGGCGAGGGGGTTACAGGGTTCTGGGATGGGACCATGCCAGGAAAAACTGGAGTGATTGGTGTGGTAGGCTGAGGCTGGGAGGTGGCAGGAGTGGATGCGGTGGAATTATTAGGAGAAATAGCAGGTGTGCCAGAGATGTTGAAGGTTGGATTTTGTTGACTGATAGGTCGGCTGTAACCTGAAAATATGAAACAATCAGCACAATGAAATATTAAAAGGAAGAAAGTCCTATGAAATGAAGACAAAGGTACCACATGACTAAGTTTATTAGTGTTTGATTTGAAAGACGCATTAGAAAGCGAGAGAGAATTCAGGAAATCTCCCAATCCACTAGCTGCACCATAAGATGTACAATGCAGCAGAGCAAGCATTCATGCTGTAAACATGGACTGACAATATATGACATAGTGCCCCCTTGAGATAAAATGAATAAGGCAAAGTTGTTGCAAACCTATACTAAATAATTTTCTGGGTTCAATAGAAAAATTCAACTTGTCAAATTTAACTAATGTTAAATTTAGGCATATTACTAAGTCAAGTCTAAAACATTAGTCTCACCACAAAGATTTAAAGAGCAGGTCATATGGGTTTTCGAAAAATATCTCTTTGGCAGTTTGTAAGGTAGCTATCCTTCAATGTAAACAGTCTGCAAAGTTGTTAATAGGGGTGTGCGATATATATCGTCTGCGATAATATCGTAATTGTTGTTTTAACGATGTGCGATTTGACATTATCAAGTATTTTGCAAAAACCATTCAAAACATCGCTACAGAGCGCACGCATACATTACGACATTAGGAGTCAGCTGTCTTCGGCAGTCCTTAAGGTACCAGCACAATAACACACTCAGCAAAATATCGTCTAATTATCGTTATCGATAAAATCCCATAAAATATCGAGATATAATTTGTCAATATCGCACACCCCTAGTTGTTAATCAAAAAAGTGCATGATAAATATAGATATTGTCTCTCAAAAGAAAGAGTCGACTCAAAATCGCCTTAACGAGTCGTTATATTTTAGAATCTTCTGCCTGTTACCGATCTACGTCACTGGGTAACACATTAGCATAATCCTCGCCTGCCCACGAAATACGAACACTCTCTGTGTCGAGAAGATGCTGTGTTCCACGATACCACAGCAATACAATTCGAACCTTTTGTTGTGCTCGTCATTTTACCGAGGACTGCTTCTCTAATCTTG